GCGCCTTCGTCGGCCGGCCGCGGCCGGCCGACGTCGACGGCGACGCCGCGGCCGGCCCGCGGACCGTCGCGGCCGCCTTCGCCCGGGACCGCCACTGGGCCGCCGGCGACGACGACGCGGAGGCCCGGCCGCCGCGGACCGACGCGGAGGACGCGGCGCTGGAGGCGTGTCTGCTCTACGAGCTCGGCTGGGAGGCGGCCGCGCCCGTCGCGGCGGAGCTGCCCCCGTCGCGCTACGTCGTGTTTCCGGACGCGCGGGGCGTCGCGGCGTCGTTCGTTCCGCCGGACGTCGAGGCGCTCGTCGGCGACGCCGTCGCGGACGCGCCGACCTGCGCCGCGGCGCGCGGCGCCGTCGACCGCCTCCTGGACGCGGCGGACGCGCTGCCCGCGACGGCGCACGCGCGCTACGTCGTCGGCTTCGGGCTCGACGGCCCCCGGGGGGCACTGAGAGACGTCGCGGACGTCGCGGAGGCGCGCGCGGCGGCGCTGCTGCGCCTCTTCGGGCGCCTGGCGACGTCCACGGAACGGTCGAGCGTCGTCGTGCTCACGCGGGGCGTGCACCCGGACGCGTGGGGCGCGCCGGACGGCGCGGGCGTCTGGGGCGGCGCGCTCTGGGGCGCGGCGACGTCCGCGCGCGTCGAGCTCGCGGCGCTCCGCGCGGACCCGCCGGCCATCGCCTGCGTCGACAGCGGGCGCCGCGCGTCGTCGAAGGCGCTGCGGAGGGAGGTGCAGGGCGCGCTGTCGGACGACGTGAGACTCGCCGACGGGTCGCGCGCGGTCGCGCGGCTCCGGCCGGGCCGGCGGCACCACGCGGCGTCGGCCTTGGACGTTTCGCCGCCGGCGGGCGTGCTGGTCATCACGGGCGGCACGGGCGCGCTCGGCTTAGCTGTTACTCGGTGGCTCCTGGAGCTGCGCGCGCGCGACGTCGACGCCGGCGCGGCGGCGGCGGCGACGCGGATCTGCCTGCTGTCGAGGAGCGGCGGCGCGAGTCCCGCCTACGTCGCCGGCCGCGGCGACCTGGACGCCGCGGCGCGGCGCGCCGGGGCCTCCGTCGAGGCGCTCGCGGTCGACGTCGGCGACGACGCGGCGCTCGAGCGCGCCTTGTCCGACCTCGGCCCCGTCGCGGGCGTCGTCCACGCCGCGGGGCTCCTCGCGGACGCGGCGCTGGCCCAGGAGGAGCTGGCGAAGCTCCGGGCCGTCATGCGG